AACTTAATATTAGTTTTATTATATTATTTATGATTGAAATCCAAATGTTGTCACTGAATCAACAGCTGTTTGCGTGCTTATGTGGCAAATGTTTTGAAATTATTTATCATAGTCTTCTTATTTTACCTTACAAAACAAATTGGATTTTAACAAGGTTGTGTTAATTTTCCAAATCTACTATGTGTCAGCTTGATGTCATTATGAGCAACAAAAAAGTTGGAGTCTGCTGAGGTTGGCCTCCTGAAACTTGCTTCTAATGACAGTTTGTAATTGAATAAACATGTCCTCAGCCCTTTTGAGGTGTAATCATTTAGATCAACCTTATTGATACCAAAACACTCTGATTATTTCTAACCTGGCATTGTCCCACAGGCGAACTGTGGGAAGCTCCTAAAAGAACTCATCCTCCACCCGGGACAACACCCACTCACACACATGCAGAATCAGCTCTTAATTTTCACACACTGCAATGATTAAGGACACATCACAGCATGTTCAGGCAGCATATTCTATGAGCCGAGGTGGGAGAGGAGGGGGTGCATTTTTAATAATTTTCTTTAGATTTTTTTTTATTTGATTTTTTTTACTGTCTGATGGTGCTGTCCCATCTTGTCAGATCTTCTGTGTTTGCAGCTATGCATACCCTCATTTATGTTCACTTAAAAGAGATAGAGTGTGTGCCAAGTGAAACCTTTTATACGTTAAAAGAAAGGATTAAAAACAGATGAGCGACAGTGATAGATGCTCATACATAGGGTGTGTTTGCTTGCTTGACATTGTTCTCAGGAGCTATTACTGAGAAAGAAATGTTAGGAAAACTACTTTTATGAATGAATTTAATTGCTTAGCTGATAATAGCTATCTGAACATCTAAACTGATAGCTATCCTAGGTTTCTACAACCTAGGTTATCATGCAGTGCTTTTCAGCTTCGTCTAAGCAGCAGAAATCTGAAATTTTAAGACATGCACACTTTAACACTCTCAGATATAACTGAGCCACCTAATGAAATGACAGAAGTGTCTTCCTCGGTGTTTGTCTTTCTTGGATGAACACTAAGGTGTGGTCCTGCAGTGTCTCTCCACCCTGAAGGCATATGGCATGCCAAGCTATCATCCTTGTCTGCACCTGCAAAAGCAGGTGGTACAGGGCGGAGATACCAAAGTGTGACAGTAAAGAGAAGGGAACAGAGAACAGAAAGCTGTTATGTCATGTGTGCCCAGGAGATATTTGCGTGCGATGTACAAATGGCATCATGGCATCCAAGCAATGGATGCCATGATGACCAAAAAGCTTTGATCATTTTCATTCAACATCCAGAATATTTAGAATTTTTTCTAACAGTATTATTTATTCTTGCTTAGCTTAATCTATTTTAGTTGATTTTATCTGATTATCTTTTTTTAATCTTTGTTAAGGTAGGCTAGTTAGCTTAGTGTAACATTAATTGCTCTATTTTATGTTGGTTATTGTGTTCATTTCCAATTTACTTTTATTATTTTTTGTTAAAGCTTTTTGTTTGCTTTTCTTTCTCACTTGGCTTATGTTATTGTATCTAAGTTAATGTTCATTTGTTTTATCTTGACTTAGCTCAACTTAATTTAGTTTATCATGATTCAATTTGACTTTTTAAATTTTATTAATGTTTTTTATTATTGTTATTGCGGATACTGTAGCAAAGGCTAACTTTATATGCCATATAAGAGCTATGCTAACTCTAAACCAGGAGATATTTGAATGTACAATACAGACCATGGTAACTTTCACACATGCTTTACTTATGAGGATTTGATATAATCTGATTCTCCAATTTCTGGAAAATACTGGAGAAAAGTTGAGAATATGCTTCGTTTGAAGCTTCATTTAGAGAGTAATTTAGTGTTAGTAAATGTACCATACAAAACAAAGTAACAGATACCAAAACCAATGTGTAAAAGAGACTACTCATATGGTTTGTTATTACAACTATTCTAACTATTTTTTCACCATTATTGCTGTTCATATTATCATCATTGTGTTTGTGCTGTGCAATGAGCTTGTAATTTGTTTCTGTGCAGGCCAAGTTTGCACACACTTTGAATATCCTGACAGAAATTCTATGGAGGAGGTTTGGGTGGAGCAGCAGCCACAAACCAAAAAATTCACAGACACACGCCAATGCACGGAGCAACCCAGTTTCATTTTAGAGACACTGCCAAGGTTTTTACAAGATACCAAAGCTGGAACAAAAACAGACTTTGGAGATATTTAAAATAACAACCTTTTAATCCATACATTTATTGTCAGAAGGAGTTTGAATCACCCTATTCTCGTTTAAAGTGAAATGTGGTGCAGTTTTAAAGATTTTGCAGACATAAGCACTCCCATTATCTGTGTGTCTACTACAAAACAGTATAAAACGCCATACAGAAAAGCTGCTATTTGCTGCACCCTCTGATCGTGTGACACAGGTGTGTTTGTGCAGTCGGTGACATTGATATGCCTCCAGGGATATAGAGGCAGAGCCAGGGAGCAGGAAGTGAATGGGAAGGAGTGGCCAACGCAAAGCTCTGATACCTGACCCTATCTGGGTCGCTGGTCACAGGATGATGCTCCTGAAACACTGAAACTCTTTCACTACAAATATCAATATCATTTTGACTAGAAGTCTTAAAGGAATAGATCTTTATTTTTATAAATTTCTGAAAATCTAATAAAGATTTGTGATTCTGTTAAATGTTTTCCAAAACCCCTAATCTAATGAGTTACAAATTAGCTTGTTCTGCAACACCAAACATTTAATGTTTAAACCTCAGTTTCTTTGTTTTTGTTAAAAGTTGAGTCGCTTCAGCTTGTCACCTTGTTGGACCTTTTGTTTGCAGTTCAGCCACTGGTGGTCAAATGCCTCCAAATTGTTGCTGGAAGTCACTGGCTCCCCCTGGTGTCTGCTAGTTGTTAGCTGCTGGACATCTTCTGAGGAGAATTAGCTTGATATGTTTTCATCTCCATCACTAAGTTTTCTTGTTCAACCAATATTTCTGTGATCATCACCACTGTGTGTTTGAGCTTTTTCAAGAAAGTTTAAACAGCACATCCTGAAATTTCAGTCTGTCTTGAAATAATTATCTGAAGAGTGACTTTGTTAATGGCATAAAGTACCTTGTGTCTTGTTGCTGTGCTCACTCATGCTATCGTCTTTGACCTTTGACACAAACCTATCTGTCACAGCTTCTCCACTAGAGTTTGGCTGTTGCTTATCCCGTTTCAGACTGACTCCACAGTAGATTGTGTTTTATTCCATGGCTGCATTTCAGCCTTCCTATGAAAGTGATTGATTAGTAGCTGCTTGGTACAGTTGCCTCTGTGCAACTCATTAATCATATATTGCAAAACATTATGTGCAGCAAAACATTCTGTGCACTCCATATTATGCTTGGGAGATTTGCCTATTCTTGATTTGCATATCTAAATTATGAATATATATATTTTTATATATCTAAAATATTAAAAAGAAAATTCATCTTCAGAAGCTGAACCATCACTTGTGTACTTGAAGCCTTGAAACAAAGCTGTTCCCTGGAACCCATCTCCATATATGGCAGCTGACAGCTCTGGAATTTTTTCGCACCTTTTTATTTAATCTTAACCACATTTCATTGCATCTGCAGGTTTGGATAGTGTTACCTAAGGTATTTTGGTATGTGTTTTACGATGGGTGTGTTTGGCACAGCATAACATCAACAGCAAACAGTGTTCACAGTTTATGAGTCTCCACCAAGAGGTGAAAACAGGAGACAGAAGTTAGATAAGCAGGCTGTCTCCTCTCTGCTGAACCGTGAGGCATGCCCCGAAAATCAGCTTGGTGTTGCTCATAGACGACCAGGCTGTTTTCTAATAAAGCCACAAATGTTCTCACATTTCTCTGAACTGTAACCTCTCAGAAAGTGCTTAAGTTAGTAGCTGATTCAAAACTTGACTGAATCACAGTTCCACCGCTGAGAAAATTAATCTGGACTACTTTTAATTTGTACTAGTTCAACACCTAATATACTAGAATGACCCAATTTGTTTTTCAGTTGAGTGTCCATTGTCCCCTTGATTGTCCCCAGCTGTCCCTCGTTTCCCCTGATTACCTTATCTGTGTATTTATACCCACCTCTGTCTCTTGCACCCTGTCAGGTTCTCCTCTATTGTCTTATCTACCATCTGTTGACATTTGCCTTGTGTCTGTTGATGATATTATTTGAGTTGCTGCAAGATTTAGAGATTTTCTGCTGCTATTGTGTGCTCCCTGGATTTTTGTGTAATGTTTGTTCATTGAATACCATCATTTGCATCTTAATCTGGGTCCAACCACATGAGGTAGACGTCCTTATTAGAGTGGAGAAATTTTCACGTCAATCTAAAGCTTAGTTTCAGCTAACCTCAAAACTGAGCTGTTCTTAAATCCATTAAATCGAGTTTATCTGTGTAATTATTTCATATTTTATCATCTAAAGTAAAAATGAGGACTAATTCTACATTTGTTTGTAGGGCAAATTGGTGCAAAAATTCTTAGTTTGGTGATCTGTCGCCCTCTGGTGGCTCAGAGGCAGTACAGCATCCAGAAAACAGCCGTCCTTCTATTGTTTCCCCAAACCACTTACTAATCTATTTATATGAAGGTTATGAAAGGAGCGTATGACGCATTTCTGAATCCGTGGGATGCAGCAGGAGAACCGATCTAAAAGTATATAGAAGCAAGAAAGAAAAACCACCTGGAGCAGAGGTTGTGAGTACTTTAAATCATCCCGCTTCGTTGGGAAACATGAATGACTGAGTGATCCTAACAGGCTTAACACTCATAGGCGGCACAAAGGGCACTATTGTTGCCTCCAGATGCCCATCAGTGGCGCAGTCGCTCTTTGAAGCCCCTCCAATCGCTGCGAATAGCGCCACCGACGGAGGGCGGGGTTTGCCCCCCCGCCCGTATCTGCTCCAAGCCCAGCTTTGGCACAGCTTTCCATTGATTTCCACGGAGAGGAGCCGAGCGGCGGGTTTCAAGGATCTCGCTGTGGAACGGTTGGATATCTGGGAACCTGAATGATGCGCAGCTGCAGGAGGGCACGGTTCGGACAGGTATGAGACCTGTGGCGCTCAGAGATGAAGGTCACACTGATGTTTTAACCACGCTGTCATACGACCCCCCCAGGCCTGGCAAGGTGGAGCCCCACATGGATGGATCCTGCTGTAGGAGCTGTACTCATGGAATACAAAGCCTGGCTGAGTCCGCCCCTCTCCGGAAGCCTCCCCGCAGCCCTCTCCTCCTGACACAGCCTCTCCTGGTCCCTCTCGACATGTGGGTCTCTGCTCGGTGATTCGGTGGACCCTGCTTTTATCGGGCTCTTGCTCTTGTACGTAACTCACGGGATTTGTCTGCGCTCTGGGATTCCTTTGTGTCAAAAGGTTTAGCACAGGGTGCGCAAAGGGTGGCGGAGCGGGGGGCTTCGTTTGCGCACAGCTGCTGTGTTTTTGTGGCCGGGTCGTGATGGCGGGTCGCCGGCCGGAGGCGCAGGACCACCCGCCCGAGAACGGCTTCACCCCGCTAGAGCGCCCCGCGCCCCGGCTGCTACCTCACATCGACGGCTGTGTGCTGCCATCTCTGGGGGGCTTCGGGAGACACCAGAAGCAGCTAGTGGTCCTGACATGGATACCCGCGCTTTTCATCGGCTTCAGCCAGTTCTCGGATCACTTCTTGCTGGCGCAGCCTAACGGAACGTGCGTGCTGCCCGCGGGTAACCACAGTAATTGGACCGGGCCACCCGTGCTTGCCAGCGGCGCGCCCGCGCTGCAGCTCCGGGCCAACGGCACCGCGGAGGAACCCGGGAACAGCGCCGGGCTGCTGTGCGCCTGCGAGGAGCGGAGGCTGGAGCTGCAAACAGGACTCCTTCAGAATGTGGTTACCAAGGTAACAGCAGACACCCTCTGTTCCCCATCATCATCCTCACCATCAGCGAGCATCAGTGCTGAGTGTGGAGCAAACAGCTGACTGGCAGCTCACCCACTGACCTCAATATGAGACTCAGCAGCTGAAGGTTAAGAGGTTTAGTGATGGACTTTAGCACTTACAGCACGATTAATTATATAAATATTGCAGATTGGTAAAAATAATGACCAAATCAAAACTAATTAGCCATTACTTTGACTGATATCAAGCATTAGTTCTGGAAATGTACAGAACATTTAAACACCACTTTTTTTTCTTTCTTTCCATCTTGTTCCACAAAGTTCACCATATTTTATTTTTTTCTATGAGAAATCATCACAGAGCAACACACAGTTATGAAGTGGAATGGAAACATTAAATGCTTTTAAAGTTTTTTCCCCTTCACTCTAATAACCCTAAATAAAATCCAGTTCCTCCTATTGTAAATCCACCTGTTTCAGTGATGCTCTTCTGTAAAATCCTCCAAGCTCTGAACATTGGTTAAGCCTGGATTTAATTTGTGAAGAAAACAATATCCTGAGCTTTCAACGTCTCAGAGATCTCTGATCAAGGACTCATATGAAAACAAAAAGAGCACAGCTCCAATGAAAAGCTACTAAAATATGGTGGTCTAACTAAACTGGCAGGCCAGGCAAGGTGTACATTATTCAGAGGAACAGACCATAGTAACTTTGGAGGAACTGCAGGAAATCATAGCTCAGGTGGAGTATTTGTTGACATGACAACTATTAGTCATACATTCCTTTAAAGAATAAGCAGGCTAATTTTGAATGAAACGTATAAGAAACGCAATATGATGTTAGACACAATCAGGAAGAATGTGCTCTGGTCAGATGAGACCAAAAATGAAAACTAACACAGCTCATCTCCTGGATAAATTCCTCAGCTTGTGGCTGAGGGGATTCGGCTTTTTTCAGCAGGAAATTGGCAACTATCCGCACTGAATTTTGTTTTGTGGCGCCAGAGTAAAGGGGAGGTGAATATACGCCACCGTTTTCAGATGTAAAAGATGTTGGAAACCATCAAGTCTGTTCCTTCCACTTTCTAATTACATGCTGCTTTATAGAAATAAAATATTGCTTTTCATTTGTATACAGTTTTGCTAACTACAGTGTAATTACAGTTTAGAAAAACCTACAGTTAGTGAAAAAAATAAGGAATTGTTTGATTCCTGACATATGCTTAATTTATAATGAATGTGACTGATTTCTGACTTGCATGTATGAACAACATAAATTTCCTCTGATATTATTATAACTAATAACCTATATGTAGCAAAACATGGGTTGGAAGTGTTCTCCATATCTGCACCACAGGCTTTGTCATTGCTAAAATAATCATGCAAAGTTACTAATTGACCCATTGCTCCCCCTTTAGTGGCAGCTCAGCAAATAGTTTTCTGAATTATTGTTAAACACTTTCCACACAGCCCAATCTGACTGCAGGGTTGCTGATTTCGGAGTTGTATGCAGATAAAGAGCAAGCTGTGCCTCCTTATTTGAGTCCTTGGCTGTTTTTCAGATAGTGAGAGCTGCAGTGGTGTGTTCACTGACCCGTGAGACAAAAACTATTGATTTCTGTCAGTGAGGACGCGCTCGCACTTTCCCATGTGTTTGTTGTTTGTTAGTTTGGTGTTTATTTGTTTTGTTATTCACACACGTGTTTGTGTTTTATCATGATTTTATAGACTTAAATGTGAATATTTCAGAATTACAGAGAAATTGAGTATAGGAGGACTGTTTTGGTTCATACACAAGTCCTGATGTTTATTTCCCTTTTCCGGGAGAATTTCAAACTGACTAAACCTGCTCCTCTCTGTTTTCTGTCTGTTTCAGTGGCACCTGGTGTGCGACTCGGCGTGGAAGGTCCACATAGCCAAGTTTTCCATGCTGGTGGGCTCAATATTTGGCTACCTGGTGATGGGTGTGATGGCTGACTGGTATGATCCATATTCTCTGTTGAATTGTTTATTTTAAAATCAACTTTTGTTTTTTTGGATTTACAAGAAACAAAAGTTTCAGTTTTTAACTACATTTATTTTCTTTAGTTTTGTTTCTCGTTAATTAATGAATTATTTGCCTTTATTACAGGATTTGTCCTGAAAATCAATAAAACCTTGATTTTCAGGATCCCTTTCCTTTTTTCAAATAATTAAATGTTTTAGACATAAAAACAGGTAACCGGATTCATTTTCTCCAAACTTCTCAAGTTGTTTCTAGTCCTGAAACGAGTTTTTTTTTTTTTTAGCACTGATGCTTCTGCACAAATATAGGTTTCAATGCGTAATAAAACTTGGGCAGCTGACTTTCTAAAACAAGCTGCAACACCTGATTTACACACGTTTTCCTGCTCACAGGTTGGTAGTGATTCAATTTACACTTGGTTTCGAACTGCATCTCCGCATTAATTAATTTGAACAACTCTGAAAGGAAAGCATGCAGCGAATGTTCCAAAAGCTTAGATGAAAGCAACAATCAGAACAGCAGCAGACCATGCAGATTTGTTTTCAAAAAAAATTTTTTTCACAATCTGACATGAACTGAAACTGAACATTTTGTGTTAGGATTACCAGAATTATCTGTTTGCTAAATGGCAGCATATTAAGAGATATATATATTTTTGTCACTTTATTCAAACTCATTTTTAATGGAACTAGGTGTCTGCACCTGGAACATTTCTAAATGTCAGTTCATTTCACTCAAAAACCTTCAGGTGTCTGCTAGAAAGCGGAGGCTAAAGAGGGAATCACAGTCAGTCCAAACACATGTCAAAATCAACAACAGAAGACAAATGGAGACACATTTTCAAACTTCAGAATGTCCTAGCCAAAATTCAGATGTAAATCTGTCAGAAAATGTGTGGAGTATCTCGACTGAATCACCAGCTGACGTTATTATTTTTCTCATTTAGTTTGTGGAAAACATAAAAATCTCCTGCAGCAGTGAAGCACAAGTCAGGTGCATCCTGTATCTCAGAGAGATTCCTCATTCATTAGAGCTGAGCATGCCAGCTCCTGCAAGATGCCTGCTTTTGCCTGGATGCCTGGATTTGGCTGTGCACACTGGAGTATACTTAAAGATTTTTTTAAAAAAAAGCTCACTCAGCTAGAAGATATTACTAATGTGTTTTCCGTTAGTCAGCAGAAACAGCGCTCTGTATTACCATCTTCACATCCTCATGTCTGATTTTGACCAGTTTTCGTCTGGATATGACCACATGCACATAGATACTGGTCCACATGGGAATAGACCTGTAATCATCACATAAACAAAACACAACTTTTTTTAGCTTTAACTCAATGCTTTGGAAAATCAAAGTTATTTGACTAACAAGGCCACAGAGTAAGTTTTAACTTCAAAATGAACCCATTGAAACTAACCTTGAAGAAAAGTTTGAGTTCTCTGTTCTTAGGCCCACTTCCAGAAGCTTCATGTAATCCTCACATAATTTAAAGTGAGGACAAACTCAGAAGAAAAGCTAAACCAACATTTTTTCTTTGAGTTCCCAGCAGATTTCACACTGACGCTGCTGTGCTGGTTCAGGTCTGCAGCCTCAGAGAGAACCTAATCTGGACCGTGGGAGGAAATGGATCAGTAACAATGAAAACAATGCAGCAACTCTGACCTGCTGCCCTAATGACCTCATGCCCCTTTTAAACCAGAGCACACAGTGATCTCTTTCACCTGATTTCTCTGCAGTCACTCTCACTTTTTAAACTCTTTGCTGCTTCTCTCTGTCTCTGTTTCCAAGGTTTGGCCGACACCCGGTGTTGATTCTCTCGGCGCTTTTCATGCTGGTGTTCGGCCTGTCTGTCGCCTTCTCTGTAAATGTCACCATGTTCAGCACTTTGCGCTTCTTTGAGGGTTTCTGCTTGGCGGGCCTCGCTCTCTCCCTCTACGTGCTCAGTAAGTACAAGCTTATGCCTTCTGATTGTTGTCTGCCTTTTGTCCTCCTGCGGTTTGTCTGTCCCGGTTTGTGCTTTGCTCAGCATTAGAGCTGTTGAATTAAGAAGATTTTGACAATAGGATCAATGTCTTGATGTTAATTTATGCTAAATTAATAGTTTTATCCAATCTAGTGTAACAGTGATGAATGACTCCCTGTGTGAACACAGCAGACCCAGGAAACACAGTGCTGGTCCTTTGTAAAAAGACCAAATTCATGAGGTTGTCCAACATATGCAAAAAAAAAATAAATAAATAAAGATAAGACAAATGTTACTTCCTCTTTTTTTATTATTATCTAAAGTGTTTCCTTTTTCTTTAAATGTTTTGTAAAAGGCATTCCTTGGGGCGTCAAGCTGACACCAAACTGGTGGATGACGTTTTTTCCCAGACATTGTCCCCTGCATTCCCTGCCTCCCTCGTCTCACCCTCTGTGGGCCTCTTCTCTCTTTTCAGGCCACTGTGAAATTAGTCACACATGATGCAGGAAGCTCAGGCAGGCTCGAGTTCGGGCGATGGGGTGTTGTTTTGTCCTCCCTCAGCATGGTTCCCTGATAAATTTCAAATGACCCTCTTCTGGCTAACAAACAAAATGAGCCGTCTGCGGAGAAACCTGTGAGGACTGGGATTTAATCTGTGATGTAAACATCAGCGAATGAAGCTTTGGTAACAGTGGTGTGTGGTATTTAGAGGGAGTCCATAGATAAAGGCTATTGGACTTAGAAAGGATCAGTGAGATAAATAAGATGGATTATAAAATAGAACCATTTCCAGTGATGATTAGCAATTAAAATGTGGGTCAGAAACTGAATTTTTGTCACAGATGTTCTTAGAGCTATTTAGATAAGCATCTGAATTTGCTTTATGTTTGCGGCTTTAATGCAAGACGCGACTGTGTGGTGAATGCAATTTAAAGTGTAACTAAACAGTGTTTCTGTGAGCTGTTGTTGGTAGACTGTGTGAGGTGTGCATGCATACAGAAGGAGGAACAAAAACAAGCTCTGTTTACACATTATTCATAATCTAAAAATGAGATGTTTCTCTGACTGTCAAACCCATTTAGTGTGTCATTTTAACACAGGGAAACAAATCAGAACCAGAAAGAAAATATTCTTCAATATGTGGCTATTTCTGAGTAAATTTTCAGCTGACATGTTAGAACTACTTAAAAATCTACATTTACAATAATCATAGCTATAAATATCTTTTATATTGTTATTTTAATAGTTCAGATCTCTTTACACGGTGGAACAATGGGACAGAAAAATCTTGTAATGTTTTTTTGTTGTGAGTTTGTTGCACAAGTTTGAATCTATTGCCATAATGATCCCAACCGCACATAATCTGGTTTTACAATGAATAAATTTAAGGATATTATTTTTCTATTAAGATTTTTTTCTTTTTTTTACATCTAAGCCATTAATTTCACTTAATTTATTGACTGAAAATATCATCACTAATAATCAATTAGTTGATTTTTGAACATTTCAGTTGATTTTTATCTTCAACACACCGTTTGTAGATTCCTGTTGTTGTTGTGATAATGGTGGCGCAGTAGAACGTCTCTGTATAATTAAAAAAGTTCCAAATCTATAAAGCCTCTTAAGATAAAAAAATTCTCCACATTAAAGCTTAAACTCTGTATTTAATCCCCCAAAATAGTGTTTAATTTAAATCTCACTGAGCTGCCGATTTAAAATAAAACCGCCTCACTGTCATGAAGCTGCACTGTAGCAGATGCTGAAGCACAACAGGGGCACATAAAGCCCGTTATACTGCTGAGCAACACATACGGAAAGAGGTCATACAGAAAAATACAGAAATAAACATGTAGGATGGATTTACTGTATTATAGATGAAGGAGGAGTATTTATGTTGCAGAAATAGCTGCTTGCCTCGTGCGCTCTTTTCACCCACTGCTGCCGCTGTAAATTCGGCGCAGAACTTCTGTTTCTAAATCTCCTCTGCTCTCCATTAACCCCCTTCCTCTTCCTCATCCTCTACCAATTTATTAGCCCCACCCCACGACTCACTCATATTAAATCTCAATGTTTGGTTATCTCTCTGCAGCACACGCTGCATAATGAACACCGCTGAAGCAGTCAGACGGACCCTCAGTTTACTCAAATAAATAATATGTGCTTGTGGTATATTTGCTTATTGAACCATTTCTGCACAGAGGTAATATTTGATACCCCATCAGGATTTTTACTGCAACCTTCACTTTGTTCTTTCTCTCTTTTTGTATGTACAGTAACATACTAACATTCTTACCTTTAACTTTATAAGTTGTTTACTTTGTTTGCTGAATATTTGGTGTGTCTTGAATTTGTTTGTGCCATATTAATATTCTCAGAAAGAGTTCTAAGATTCAAGGCAGATGGAGTTGTTCCAAAAGTCACATTTAAAAAAAATGTAAAAAATATGATCCCAAAAACTTAAGGTTGAATCTGAAAGATGTGTCATTGTTCACAGGAACCTGCTCATGGGTGAAAGATTTTGGTTTACAATCGCAAAAGTATTAGGAATATTGCAAAACCACTTATCTGTTCAATAAAATTTTGGTATTTTCTGCAGAAGGGCTGACCTTTATCACCTCATTGATTCTGCTTTATAATAATAGGGTGAAAGGCAACAAAGCAAGTGATGGAAAAACTAAAAACGAACAAAACCAAAAAAACAAAACTGCAAACAAATATAAATCTGACTTGTACCCTTTTCTTAAAAATTGTCCATAAAGAATAATTCTTTTAAATATTCAGAGCAGTTCTGGTTTGCACACAACAGAGGGAATAATTAATCCGCATGAGGCATCTCCAGAGATCCTTTTACATATAAAATGGGTCAACATCCTGTAAATCAAAAGTACAGTTCTAACTCAAAGAAATTATAGGAGGTGCTTCTGGGGATGACAAATTTTGACACTGACTCGTAGCATATATCTACAATGAAGGTTTATGTCCAGAAATCAGGAATTGTCTCTCTGATCTCTCTGTCCCTGCCTCTCAGAGTGTTGCAGCTCATGACAAGGGCAAGGAAAGTAGAGCATGTACTAAGGTTGTGTTTCATTGAGCTGAGGCGAGGGACTTCTGCTGACTCAGCTGGGTTTAATGCTGCTGTCATGCTGTGCCTGTGTCGAATTGTCAAACGTTTCACATCCATTCCTAAAGTCCCTACTGAGGCTCAGAAGAGGGTTTGTCCTTATACTGTTTTATCTTATATAAAAGACAAAACAGTATCTTATCTTCTTACTACCTATTACTAACCTTTTATTACTATTTATTAAAAGGTTACTAATATTAAGCTTCACTATTCTCTCTACAAAGTGTGAATAGAACTACATTCTCTCGCATTAAATTTCTAAAACCAAAGGTTTTGTTCGACAGTGACTCTTGAAGAAATTATCTTGGGTCTTTTGCTTAAAACCTCAGAGTGATCTTGGACAACAGATAGGCAAGTGAATAATGACAAACATCTTTATCATTAATTGCAAAGATGAAGCTGTTTTCTTATTTTAATGACTTGAGAAATAACTTTGTCGTGGTTGTTGTATTTATATCTGAACAAAGGATGAAATCACTTCAGGCTGCCTTGTTTTCATTTGTGGACTTTCAAGAGCTTGTTTGTTCCTTTACCTTTTCCAGATGAACTCCAACTAATTTTTACGTCAAACGCCTATCTAGTGTATCATACAGGTGAAATGGTGGATACGTCCCTCCCCTTTATTTAGCATTCCCTGTCTGTAGTTCTATTTTGGGCTTGCAGAACATGAAACTTTATGTAACTCTGCACTTTGAGTTGCTCCCAAAGCAGCAGAATAAAAAATAATAATTTTGAGATTATTGTTTTTCATTTTTGCCCTGCTGCCTGATTAAACTGAACATAACAACAGCAAGTCAAGGTGCATATTTTTTTTTGTGACTGAGCTGTTCTGCATAAGACAAACTAAACCACACAGTGGTTTTTATGAGAACTCATGCTGACAGAAAGCCAATGGTCCCTTCACTTTGTTATCAAGCCTCGGGCGAGGTTAGGGAGACAGCAGCAAAACAATACAATGTGACTGTGGTAAAGCTCTCAGCCGTATGCCTTGAAAGACAAGTCTGGTTACTAGCTCTTTGGTTTTTGTCGTCTTCTCTTTGTCTCATGTTTTTTCACTCTGGGTTTGTTGTTCTGCAAAGCCTCTGCAAGTTGCAGGTGTAAAGTCAGAGGAGAAGCTGCTTGGTGAAAGGAGGAGGATGGCGATGGGGGATGGTAGATTTTTTATTTTTTTTTAAGAGAGTGAGAGCCACTTCAGAGCGGCAGAGGAGAGGGAGGAAGGGGGAGTGAGGGAGGATCAGCTCATGGAGGAGTGGTGAGATAATCAGCATACGAATAATGGTTCTCACAGTCAGCTTTAACAAAAATAAAGATTCTGACCTGAGCATGTTTGTGTGTTATCAGTGGGATTTGACACCTCCTCAGAGAACTGGGGAGCATCCTTTGTTTTGCTGCCTTTCCACCCATTAGAAGTGATGGTGCTCATTGTTTTGCCAGTATGACTCTGTTTAAACTTGATTTTATTATGCGTCCCGGCTTATTTAGATACAAATGAATAGATGTTAGTATGGCCACTTACAGCTGCCATTCAAATTCTGTCTTCATCAGATTTGTTATCTGATTCATATGCAAATAGACATGGAGCCACAACAATGCCTTAATAGGTCTAATTCTAATACTTATTTACCCTCCTTGGCTTCCCTCCGATTTTTCAATCATATTTTCCATAATAATCAAAGACAGTACATGTTTCTCAGAGTCCCTCCTTCCTCTATCCTCACACACCCTCAGTGGTCACCTTGAGAAACGACGTCACCATATGGACCCAGCCATCTGGAGTGTAAGATGTTACAGGCAGTAAGAATGGGAACTTGAGCCTCTTCTGGGGAAATGGGAATACTGAACAGCTAAGAGTTCTAAAAAGCTTTCACTTTGGCACTAAATTGTCAAATAATTTACAGGATACACTTAATACCAGATCACTGCGAGACAAAGACTAATCTTCCTCTTTTAAACCATTGAATCCTCTGCTTTTAGTGACATATCCTCAATCGCATCCCATTCATACCTGATTAACTCTCCTCTCTGGCTGCGACAACATAATGAGTCTAAATATTCAGAGATAAAATCTTCCTTTCTTTCTGCTCTGCCTCTTTATTTAGGAATCGAGCTCTGCTTGCCAGGCTGGCGCTTTTCCATGACCATGGTGGCCAGTTTTCTGAAGGTGGGCGGGCAGCTACTGATGCCAGGGGTGGCCACTCTGTGCCGCCATTGGCCAAATGGGGATGACTGGCAGGTGCTGCAGATCGTGATCATCAGCCCTTTTGTTCTGATGCTACCATACGTCTGGTGAGTCCCACCCTCTGAAGACATCCATCCAGGGTTCCTCACACTGAGCCAGGCAACGGCTTGTACAGTACACACACTACACAGTACGGAGCAGTCAACACCCAAACAAAGATGTCTTTCTCTTGCTGTTTTCTTCTTCATTCTTTCTGTCTTGCTCTTACAGCACAGTCTGTTCTCCTCCTCTGTCTTTCTGAGGATACAAATGCAAAAGCACTGGAGGACATTTAGAACTGTTTGGAGTGTATATCAATCATTCTTTCGTTCCTGTTCAGCACTGGTCCAAAATCGGCAGCAAAACACATGGCTTAATCAGAAATAGAGTGATGATTTTTGATATCAAGTGTTTACAAAATAAATAAAAAAATATGGCAAAAGAACACTTCTGCACCAATATTGTTGGGGCTCCATTCATCAATTGCATTTTAATATAAAAATTGTTCTGGAAGGCCCAGATCACCAAATATTTTACTTTATTTTGCAGGTTTTGCTTTCTTCTGTTATTTTCTGAAAATAAGGAAATTAGGTAGCATCAAACTTTCTCCTAAAATTCTCTAAAAATTCTTATCCCTGTTAATTTTTTTTTTCCTCATTAAAAAACATTTTCTGTTGGATTCCTTATGCCTGTTGCAATTTCTAGTGAACTTTTCATCACACATCTTTAGAAATGTCATCCAATTTTATGCCTGAATAAGTCGCAGCAACATCAGTTAAACTCCAGGACATGAAACAATTCCAACACAGATTTTTAGAGATGTTTTGGTTGTGGCTCGTTTCCTTTCTTCTGATTTAAGAAGTTGTGCTGTGAGCTTCTACTCACCCCACGCCACAGAAGTTTTTTTTTTAATTGTACAGCTAGTTCTACTTTCTTTCATAGTCCCAGAATTAAATAAATTCCAAGAAAATGAGCATAACAGGATATATTCCTTTTTGATGTTCAGGCAGAAGCTGCAAAAAGCTCCTTTCAAAGAGTCCAACTTTACTTCACATCTTCTAAATCTGCAGGATTTTCCCCGAATCGCTACGCTGGTTGCTGGCGACCCAGCACTACAAGCGGTCCAAAGCCATGATGCTGCGCATCACCAGAAAAAACCAGGTTGACTTGACAACTGAGCCCAGTGGAGTTCTTGCAGGTGAAGACAAATTTAGCAGATGAAAGCTCTCAAATCCATTTAACTGCCAAATATGCTTTCGGTTGCCTCACTCAGATCTTTATGCAAGATATTTTACACCATCACCTGCAGCTTGTGATGCTCTTACTAATAATACATGTACATTTGTTTCCAGGTAGTCAAGATATGTAAGTTTATATTGGTGGTAACAATTTCAGAATTTCTGACAGTGTATTGATTTTATCCAAATATGATGAAAACAATCTTTTTCCTTGAACAGATACACATTCATATCTTATATGAGTGTCATTTTTTCTGAGTGACCAAGAAGATATATCAAGTCAGCGTGGCATGTTAGCTTCTCTGTGCTAAAAAGAGCAAAAGATCCCTTACTATCATATGAAAGGAAAAATAGATCTCAAGGTGTACATTTCATGTTTCCTACCAGAGCTGGAACAGGAGCTACACAAGAAACCCCAGAGGAGCTGCATTGTCAAGATGATGAGTACCAGGAACCTGTGGAAAAACATTGTGGTGCTTTGTGTGAACTCGTAAGTGAGTTGTGGTTGCCTTTAAATACTTCTTTTGCTCATCATAGCCAACATCCGGTGCGTTGACAGCATGAATTACTTCATCCACAGGCAGACTCAAAGAATGTGGGTCTTAATCCCTGTGGCAGACGCATGTCTCCTGTCCACGGCTGTGTTCTCACTTTGTATTTGTGTAGTCTGACAGGTTATGGGATCCACCACTGCTTCGCCCGCAGTATGATGGACCCGGAGGCCCAGCCCACGGCTTTGTGCCACACAGACTACTACACCATGGCTGGCATCGCCGTAGCCACATGCCTGGCTCTTTGCCCTGCAGTGGGACTGATGGGTCGGCGTGGAGGACTGCTCACCTTCATGATTATAACAGCTTTGGCATCACTACTGCAGCTGGGTCTGCTCAACTGTGAGTGCACACTTACCCCCAGGCATGGCACTTTGAAGTTGCTTTGGAAACTGTGCTGTGGGTATTGACTTGTTTTGTAGATAAAAAGGCAGAACCAACTATAATCTGATGAAATCTGATTTTCTCAATCAACAAGAGCATTTTTTGTCTGAAAAAGACAAAAAATGATATGATGCTACACAGCATATCTTCTATTTTTAACAATTTAAATGTTAAATTTTGATTGATGCTCAATAGTAAATGCATTTTAGTGTGGACTTTTAACAAGTGCAGCACCAAGTGACTTCTGTTGCGTAACAGCTGAGGACTTGAAGTACAATAAATCTGTTAAATCTGTGACCAGATTCAAGTTGCACTGGCTACATTTAAAGGGGAAATTTCCATTGGGCTTGAAATAATTGTAGCTATATTATTGCTTTTAAAAGTTTTTTTTTTCCAGAACTCATTTGGTGTCATAAAAAATCTCAGCCAGTTATTTGGCAGAACTTACAAGTTACTTGTTACTTTTAAGTTACTGTTTTTACTGACTTGACTAAGTTACCTTAGTGGAAGCACAGGGTACTTCACATAACCTACAAGTCAAGGTACAGCATTCTGCTGGTACTTACAAGTTACTTTGCAGAGAGTTGCAGGTCACTTTATACACAAGTTGCATCCTGGGCTGTGCAAGTTACACTGCCACAACATATAAGTTTGCTTGACGTCACAGATGAGTTTCCAAGAATGAAAACAAGTTACAAGTTGCTTTCTGTGAGCTTACATGTATCTTATAATGATAGCTACAAAGTGATTTGTAATACGGGTTAGTTTCGAAAGTACAATGAAAGTTTGGGAAAATACTTAGTAGCTTCTGGGAAATAATTGTGGAATACAAATGACTATTGTGTATTCCTAAGAATATGTTTATGCAGCTAGTAAAAATCCTCCAGGTGTTACCCATAACAACTTTTTAAAAAAATATCCTGTATGTCACCCATTTTATTTTATTATTTTGTAGTGCAAGCAAAATCAAAATTTAAATTAAGCTAGTTAGCCAAACATGCTGACATTTGCATCTCTTAACTGATCCTTCATGAATTCCTTTTTATTTATTTTGAACAGGCAATTTCCATTACATATTGTATTTCTAGATCATTTAAACACATTGAATTTGAGATGTTTAGTGCATAGCAAATTTGCAGCTAAAGGTAACTTAACTGAATGAGCATGGACAAAATTATGCTTATATGTATTTTTTTATAATAAATCTAAGTATTGAATCTTATGTTGGGCAGAAAATTGGTTATTCAGCACACCTTGCAGGCAGTTCCTGAGTCATTAAAACAGCACAGACTGCAGTTTAACTATCATTCTGCATTTCTGACCTACATGTGCAGCAGTCATTGTTTATTGGTCCTGTTCAGAGTTCTCCTAAGGGCTTTTTTTTTTTTTTTTTTTGCTTGTTTTGAGTCAGCACTGTTCTTCCATTTGTGCTTACTAATGAATTGCTCTCCTTTCTTTTCCATTCTTCAATGCTCACTAATGAACTCCAGTAATTGGAAAGTACAGCCTCCGCCATGATACAGGTACAGCTGCTGCTCCAGTACAATTTTGACCTAAATGCTTTCCTCATCAGGTCTTTTTACTTTGCTGACATCATCTTGCTTTTCTTTTTTTTGGGGGGACAGTCCTACGAGACACACTGAACAGAAAATTCTCAGTGGCCTTCTCCATCATCGGCATGTTCTCTTCTCATGCCGTCAGCACGCTCAGTATTTTCTTTTGTGCTGAAATCACTCCGACTGTCATCAGGTGAGTCAAAACAAAGCTGTTTTTACTGTTAAAGTTTAAACCAACAACATAAATTAATTGCAAGTAGTACAACAGTAAAATTACATTGCATTCTTCTGATCACAGTACATTTTATGAAGAGCAACAGCTCTCTCTTGTGGTCACAAGAAGCAAGTAATCTTTGGTTACCTCAAGATATTTTATTTATGAGACTTAAAAACACCTTGACCTCAGCATTCAGTTTTACTTTGTAGGTAAAATTAGCAAATATGAAAAAATGTAAACATTTGACATGCTTTAGAAAACAACAAGAGAATCTCAGAAGAGTATTCAAATGAATGGAAGTTTTCTTTTCTCCCAGTAAATGTTGCATAGATAACATAGATTACAAATGTTCAGTTCTTGCTTGTCAAGTCAGTGAGGTTGAGATCAGAATAATTTTCTATGATTTCAAGAAACAGTTCCCATCTCAGAGCCATATTTTATGGTAATCACCGGAGCCCATTAAGGTGTTAAAATACTTTGTAGAAATAAAATGCTCATAGTATTTAATAAAACTGCCAGTTCAACCATATTGTGGTATTTATTTAACCCTCTTAGATAAGACTTTGGAACATAATTTAATTTATTTTACACATTTATTATAAAAAAGGGTATGGAGATTAACTTCTACATGGTCTTTTATGGGCACCATTTATAAAGTAAATGCAAATGTTGAGTCCACCTCACCTGACTAAGACTGCTGGATTCTGCTACTTTTACACATTATGACTGTCATAACATATTTTTTTGTTTTACTAGAACAATTTCAGCTATGTTTGTGTGAATATAATTTTTGTCTGCTGTTCTATCAAAACACGAGTGAGTTTGAGTTTCGCTTTGTACAGGGGTGGGGGTCTGGGCCTTGTCCTGGCTAGTGCAGGCTTTGGGATGCTAACCGCCCCAATCATGGAGCTGCACAACCAAAAGGGCTACTTCCTGCATCACGTGATCTTCGCCTGCTGCACCCTGCTGTGCATCATCTGCCTGCTGCTGCTGCCAGAGCCGCGGGGTCAACCGCTGCCAGAGAGCCTCGCCGACGGAGAAACCTTCACCCGTCAGACCCTGCTCCACCCTGGGGAGCAGCATCTCCTCCTTGTCAAGTACGAAAGGGACTACTCGCGTGTCCACGACACGCCGTTACATCTCACAGCCACAGGGGGCGCTACGGCGGCAGTAGCCACCGCTCTGGCAGCGGTACCTGCTTCCTATGCTCTTGCAACCGGTGGTGAGGTGATTGGTAACTGTGCCATAGCCAACGGGGTATGAACATCACAGCAATAGTCTTCTACTGTGCAAATAACTGATGCAGCGATAACCAGATCAAAGACGTGATCAAATGTTTTAGGAGAAAAGGAACAAAAATGTTCGGACAAACCAGATGAACTGCTGTTAAACTGTAGTGAGGTTTGAGATGATGACAATGACAGCAAGCCTGTGTAATATTTAGTGACAATGATTCAGTCAGGAGTTGCCAAAAAATATTGTATGGACCTGGTTTATCTGAAGTCAGAATGTGACAATGGTGATTTTTCTGCACTGCTTAAAGTAAACGAATGCAGGGAAGTGAACCAATGGCAGATTAACTTTGTGACTTTTGTGTTTGTAGATTTGACTTGTTGAAACAGGCTAATTGTGGATCATTTGAGTGGGCCCAAATAGTTCTTGCGTGTGGAAAACTTCTGGTTTTTGTTTTTGGTGAACTTAAATGTTTAAAGATAACCTAAGCAAGTACAAAAAAGGTGGTTTTCACATAATAATTTTATTTAGCAAGTGGAAATAAGGTAAATAAACCCAATTTGAAAAACCCAACAGCGACAGACTGGCGACCTTCCCAGGGTGTACCCCGCCTCTCGCCCGAAACGGTCGCTGGACATAGGCACCAGCACCCCTCCTGACCCCAGGAGGGAGAAGGGTGTACAAAAAATGGATGAATGGATGGAACATATGTTGGTGTGGAGGAATTTTGGTCCACATCTGCAGAATACCTTCAGTTCAACCAAACTTAATAGTGTTTAATCTTAAAAGGCTTATTTAAAGTCATACCACTGAATCTCAGGCAGATCCCAATCTAGAGTTTGAACAGGCCAGTAGAACACCTTAATTTGTGTTGGCTGAACATCTGCTGCTGACATTAAATGTCAGTATTCATGGTCCCATCAATTCAGTTTTGTGGGATAGTCAAGATGTTTAAGTTTGGGAATATGGGATGGGTTTTTGTGATATTTTTGCTCACCAGTGAGAACTCTTTCATTGGTGTCCCTTTTACCCAGCCTCATTTTAAATGTTGCATGATCAACACAAAGGTCTGCAGTGCTTTCAGATGTTGTTCTGGGTTCTTTTGTGACCTGGTTGAGCTGCTCTGTGTGATTCTGGTTCACTGATGTTCATTGTTTTCTCCATTTGTGGGCAATATGATTTATTTGGTGTCCTGAAGCCTTAGAAATGGTTTCATCTTCCATTCCAAACCCAAAGGTGTCAATCTGATCATAAATTTCTTTAGATCAATTCAGTGTGTGTGTTTTTTAGATCATTTAACAGTCTTTATGATTTTAAACTTCTTCTAAAGTAATTTCATGATTCTGTTGGTCTGAAGCTAATCAGGATTGGTGAAATTGAACTCAACTTTCAGAAAATGTAATTGATCATAGTGAGGTCATCATTTAAAAAAAGAAAGGGACTGGGGCTCCCTGAATATATGAAATAATTTGAAAAGTGTTTCACTCAGGTTATCTTTGACATAAAACTTGCTTTATGGTTTTAGTATACAAGTGTGACAAACAAAAGCAAAAACAGAAGAAATCTGAAAGGGGGCAAAGAGTTTCTTACATTATTTTGCACTAAATGTCAAAGACGCAATCAAGTGTTTGTGAATTTTTAGCCAATATGTTGGAAATACAGGCTTAGTCCACTATAAATATTTGTTTTTTTTTTTTTTTTGCATGAAAGGGCACAAATGGTTTTAATAGTTTTACATGTATGTTTTCTCCCCTTTTCTCATTTGTGCCCACTAACTGAAGTCCATTTGTGGCACTTTATCCTCAGAGATGCAGTCGGTGTAGACGCCGATCTTTAAATAAAGACTAACACTGTCAGGGGGACATATGATGGTTGTCGGATGTTACAAACAGCCGGAGACCACGGCAGATTTTTACGTGTAGCCTTTTGAGACTTGATGACGAGACAAACCTGAGAGCTGAATGGATATTAGGGCGGTGTACTGCTGTATGTCTAAATGATGTATCTCAGCATTTCAATGGCTTTATCTCATCGTCTCTGTTTTTTTTACAGATTTAAGATGAGATGTAACTGAAGAAATCCAGTATTTATTTTCTAATGATGCCAAGGGCAAACTTGTTGCTTGAATTACCTCCTTCATTAGCAAATATTTCCGCTTCAATTGTCACTGTTCGTTCTGGGTATGTTAGTATTGTTAGAATCCTGCTGTTTCTATGTTTAACATTAGGCAGAAAGCACAATAAAATACTGTTGTTTTTTTTTTAAATAAACACGTGTGAAGATTAGAGTACAGCAGTGTAGAACTGGCCTAGTTGTAACTGTGAACATTTATACTATGTGAATACTGAGTAGGATTTGTACATGTGCCATTCATTCATCATGTATGGATCTTGATCTTCACATGTTTAGAAGCACATCAACTAGATGAACCAGCCTACTAATCCAAATAATGATTCGAACCATATTAGTGTTGTATGGGTTTACTGGTTTGTATGTTTAACAGGTAAAGCAATGAAAAACAAAACAAACAAACAAAAAAAAACTCAGTCTCTAATGCTGTTTTCTAAGTGTTATTTTTTTAATAAGATGCATTTGTATAAAAAGCCATAGGCCTACATGTTTTGATAATAAACCACTTAATTTATTATGTCAATAAAAGAACAGTGGATGTGATTACTTGTGTGTCTGTTCTGTTTTTTTGAGTTTGGTTGCAGGACAATGAGAAGAATAAGCAGGTGTTGATGTAAGGAAAGTAAATGTCTTAAAGGGGTGGTGTGCTTCTAAAAGTTCTCAGGGTGAAGCTCCAGCTCCTTTTTGATCCGGTTTTCCACCAACAAACTCAGGCTGGAGTCTGTCATCGGAAGACTGTAACTCACAAAAACTTGCTTTTTGGTCCTCTTTGCTGTGAAGAAAAACAGAAAGATCTTTGTTCACTTGGTTCATTAGACAAACTCACTGGCTAATGTTAAAAAATAACATGAACTATGTATGTGAGGGAAGAAAGCATTTGGACTTATGCTTTGAGCTGTGCTAATTAAAAACATGACTTAAAAATACGGTGGGAATTTAACCTGAGAAATCTGAGTCGGAAAGGTATACTGATGTACAAAATTAATGACAAAGGGTTGATCCCAATGAAGGTAAGGGATTTTGAGTATTTCTTTGTTACAACATTGCTTCTATTGCAATTAATCTTATACGGTTGGACTGTCTGCTTTTTGAAAAATGCATTTGTAGTTTGAGCAGCAGAGCTTAGTATGTGAGTTGCACAAAAAAGATTGCTATAGTTACTGAAGCTTGAGGAAACAAAAATATTAATTTCTTAATTTAACAAGCAAGGATTTGGAATTTTCTTTCAGCGTGAAATTGATTAGACAACCAGACCTAGGCTTGCTGGCAGGCGTTTTGAATTTTCTTCCATTTTAAGAATATTTTACATACAACTGAATGAATGATCTAAAATTATTTTGAAACCTCTTTAAAAAATGTCCCAATCTCATTAGCTGTTACAATCTTTTTCTGAAGGCCTCAGACAGCTCTTCTGACTTCAACAGTCAGAAAAACAGCAAAATTGTTGGTTTAAACAGGGTAAACCCTCCTTCAAATTGCAATTGATGAGTAATTATGCTCTCAACATGTGCACCTAATTTGATGCCTGTGTGCAATTTTTGCAATATAAAGAGAACAAACATAATATATCACTCACCAAAAACAGCATGACAAAAATTTTTTGTCATGCTGTTTAAAAAGCCTCACTTAGTTTATACCATTTACCTTTCGTACTTGGATGTCAGTGTTAAATTTGATATTCATTATCTATATGTGATATACAGTGGAAATGAAAATGCTGGTACTGTCACTGCTGTTATACAACAGGCAAACTAGTATGTATTCATCAGGTTCCTTCAGCATCAATGTTAATATCACTTTCAGTTTTGAGAGAACTTGAAATATCAAATGCTGTTAAGTTTAATTTCTACAATTCTCAAATCATAGTAAAATGCATCATAATCAAAATTTGTGCATCCAGCCAAACATAGCTGAAAAAGACAAAATCATCATCAGTGCAGAACAGATGAAGTTCTCCTTTAACATAATACAAGCTTTAACTCTTAGACTAATTATACCCGGGTACAGAAACATTGTGATAAAACAGTAAATTCATACTGTACATTACCTAGCCTCTGTGCCAAAGAGTTTGCTGCAGTATTAGACGGATCTCCCAACACCAATGTTGATAACGGCATCGAGTCCTGAAAACCATAAGAAGAAACATAAACTCAGAAAACATCAATGAGAAGCTGCTCAATTGACCCATTTACTTACATATTTGCTGCTCATTGAAACCGCTAGGTTGGATAGAGCCGGAGCCGAACCGACCCAAAGGAAAAAACCTCCGTTCAACTTCATCACGTGGAAGTGGACGACCTGCTCCAGAATCTTCTCGGAGAAATTATGCACTGAAATTCCTCCGAAGTCCGAACCGTTCAGCATTTCAGTCATTTTGACGCACTTCGTAACGCTAACATTGGAAAACGATGAGCCGTGTGAAACAACAGGAGTCACTTCCTGGTTACGGCGGGGAAATGGCAGACCAAACCAATCGATTTCAGATGCAACGGGCTACTTCCGGTGTTCTGACTATCTGCGCTCCACAGATAGAACACCGCCACAAATCGCAACCAATAAAATAATTACTTTTTGAAAATATTACAATGAACTCTTTACTAAATGTTGAATGTGCATATATTCAATTACATTTCGGCAATTAGAAAAAAAATTACTTATTTAACTTATGGTCCTTAATTTATCCTAAAAGTCTTGTTTGTTGTTGGATAATTTTTTTTATTTCAAAAACAGCAACAGAAACAACATTTTGAAAAAAAAAAGTTTTGTTTGAAAAAAGTTAGATTCTGAAAGTAATGCAGTAATTGTTTTCATAAACATCAGATCAAGATAGGCAAGCATGTGCTAAGAGATCAACTGAGTTGATTTCATAGTTCTATGACAATTGTTTCCAAATCTAAAAAAAAATATTCTTGATTGTTCACATTTACATGTTTCTGATAATCAAACTTGTTTTATCAAACAAAAATAAGTTTTTAGATTTTGTTTACTAAAGGAACGTAGCTGTGCAGCCTGGTCAAATGTGGAAAGGCCCCCCGAATCATAACAGATTCTTGTGCGACCAATATTAATATGATGAGGTTCACTACTCTTTGAAGCAAAGAGCCTTCTTTTTTCATTATGTTGTTGACAAAATCTCATTGTTGAACTTGCAGTCAACAACTAGCACTCAACGGAATTACAAGCTGTGGACTTAAGGCTTAAAAATATTTTTTTTATTTGTCAAAGAAAGAAAAACAAAAGAAAATTTAAGAAAAACAAACATATCCAAGATGAAGATCAGTGTTTGCAAGCAACAAAATAACTAATGATCTGCTTCAGTCTTTGAGGAAGTCTTCAACTAGTTTGTTGAATTCCTCGGCATACTTCAGATGGAGGTTATGCTTTCCCGCTGGCATTAAATGCAACCTAGATTTAGGGAGGGGGAAATGTTTTTGCTCATTGTTACAATAAATCTAATGCACTAGAAGTTATTGGTTGGAACATGGTCTCACCGTGATGCTTTTATGTTTTTGTGAAGGTAATGAGGGTGGAAGCTGGGGACCATAGGGTCTTTCTCTCCATGAATGATCAGGGTTGGACAACTGATAAGAGGTAGAAGTTCCATGCAGATATTGCCTAAACATGCAATGCAAAAAGAATAATTTCAGCCTAAAATACAAAATAAGACATAAATAAGATTACTTTTATATATTGCTTTTTCAAAAATTGGCAAAAACAGGGCTTATTTTACTTTCATTTCAGTTGTTATGCTTCTGTAACAGCATTGTTTTCCTCACCTTCTGGTCTTTTTGCAAATTGAGCAATGCCATCCACCCAGTTCTCCCATATTTTAGCAAATGCTTCCGCTCCATACACTTCCTCCATGGGCTGCCTCATTCTTGCACTCCACTTGGAGACATCACGGACCACTAGATAGTTCCAGAAATAAGAAATATGCAATCAATAGTTAAAAAACAATGTCTACTATTGCACCTGCAGTTATTTTGGACAATACAAACTGGAGTACTATTGTAAAGCTTGAGGTCATCCTCAGTAACAAAGACGTTAGATCCCCAGACGACCATCTTATTTATCAGCTCAGGGTTCCTTGCAGCCGCAATCATAGCAGTGATTCCCCCATCACTCCAACCCAGCAAAGAGAATTTCTTAAAACCTAGAGTCTGTTAAAAAAAAAATATGAACAAAATACCAGTGAAGGAATATCTTTTATAAATATTTCCATAATAACCTTTTAAAATAGTATACATTTTTGTGATACACACATAGGTGATTATATTGTTTTATATATGAAAATGTTAGCAGTTTAAGACAGATGAGACATCTCACCTTTTAAACAAGAATTACAATGTTGACAAGGCCTAGAAAGTCATTTCGACCCAACGTTGCATGTGCACTTAAAACAGCTAGTCACCCACTCTTCCTCATTTTGCTCAGAAATTGAAGATAAATGAGTCACTGTTATAGCTAATATATTATGGATAACACATCTCTGGAAAGAACAACTCATTTAAATAAGGGATACTTGGAAATCAACAGAAATTTTGTCCTGACAAAAAGAAGGCACTCAAAGCAAAGATTTTATTAGAATTGTTAGCCATTAAAGTACTGATATAGGCTGTTAACCTTGTTGTTTTTCTTGCCTTTAAGACACATGTTTGACCGTGTTTCATAATTCTGTGGAAAGAAATAATCAGAACATGAACTGTGTTTTATGAGTGCTTTTCTTTTAGCTGTATTTATTGGAAGAGGATCGAAACACACTGAAAATGGTTTTGGAAAGTTAAGTGTGGCCATAAGTCACCTTCATCAGATCTACTCCGTCCTTTGCATCCCTCTCAAAAAAGTCAGAAGGGAAGTCTCGATCTGGAGGTCGGGATTGCCCATATCCACGGGGGTCCCACCCGACCACAGTGAAACACTCTTTGTTCAGAGACGTCAGCTGTGGACCGAAATCTGTCTTTGTGCTTCCTGTGGTAAAAAGGGCAGATCTGTTATACACAAGGTATTAAATCTTATCCTCAGATTAGTGGGTCTGTGTTTACCCAGAGCACCAGGAATGAGAAGAACAGCATGTTTCCCTTGTCCTGTTTGCTCGAAGTACAGATCAACGCTGTTAACACGCCGCTTGCCTGAGGAAGCTGAAGAGCTGCAGAGAAACAAAACCGCATCTGAGCAAACACAAGAAGAGACGCTAAAAACGTGTTTGGATCTGAAGGATAGATGACCGCACTCAGTAGTGTGAATTATTTTGTGAAGCAGAAAAAAAAGTAACAATCTCAGGGAGTTCAGAAAGGGGTCAAAACACATTGCAAGGTGAGACTGTTAAGTTTTTTTTACAAGCTTCAATAATTTGTTTTTTAATGCAATACAATACCATGTAAACATTTTCAGCCATTGCTTTTTTTTTTATTGAAAACTGTCTTCCAGACTGTAGGCAGACTATTGGCTGAGCCATTACCACAGAGTTCTTCAGAAAACACTGGAAGTTTTAAAAAAATTATTATAATAAAATTCATTGACCAGACAATATTATTTTTGCAATAGTTTGGCTCCAGTGTTTGAAATCCTTGATAAGGAAATCAAGCTATTCCAGTCAGCTCTAATTCTCTTTACAAACTGCTACTGTTAACAAGTTTTTTTCTAAAATTAACAGTGTTCTCACATTTGTCTCAAACACCTTTAAATGAGACAAAAAAAAAATAAAAGAACAAAAAAAACCCCAAGAAAAATCTAAATTAATTTACAATGATTGCTATATGCTTCATGTGACTTCACCAGGGATGTGCATGCGCACGCTCCTTTTTGGGAAGAAATATTTCATTTCAGTTGAAGATTAATTCCTATTTACAACAAAATAATAAAACAAGCTAGAGGTTTTTCTAAAATGGACAATATTTAAATGATTTTAGAATAAACTCTAGCAGACTGTTTTAAGGAGTAAAAAAGTGTGCTGTCCACAATATGAGTGAAATAAATTTAAAGTAGAACTGAGTCAAATTTACCACGTAAATCCTAAACAGAAATGAAAGCCTTAACCTTAAAAAAAAAAAAAAGAAAAACATAGCTTAATTAGAAAATACATATGAATCCCCTATGAAATAACTCCAAAGGAGTTTTGGATGTTTTCCTGGTGATTTTGGCGACTTTCGCCATTCTTTGTGCATCTAAAGAAATTACGCCATCTAGTGGAAATGTATATATAAAGAAGAAAAACAAACATTGAAGCAAAAGCAGCTGCACCGAAACTAGACTTGTCCGAATGATCTTCCCATCTGTTTTGGAGGCAGTTTGAAGAACTTTGAGCATTAAACGATCTCCTGCTGAATGCAGCGCAATGCAAACAGTTACCAGTACAGCTGCGACGCCTCCATGAACTTCCCGACGTCTTTGCTGCATTTAAACGAGCGTCTTCCAAACAAAAGCAAGGCCATTTAGTCGACCAGCGTTGCGGCCACACGGTCAGCCACGGCAGCTTGGATTAAAGCGGTTTAAGTGTGTTCAAAGTCCTCTCAGTCATGAGCCAAATGTGGTTGTTTTCAAAGGAAGTCCGGGCAGTTTGGGAGTGTTCACGTTAGGAAAATTTAAAGAGAAAGTACAGGAAGGAGCAAGAAGGTTTAATTTACTTTATTGCAATCCAGAGAAGTATGTTTTGCTTTGCTTTAAGTGCATTACTTCAAAAGTTTCATTTCTTAAGTTTGGCTTTGTATAGTAATCACTCTAAGAAAGAAATTACATATTTAAATGTGTATTTTCTTTTGTGTGGGGATTGAAGAAAGGTGAGTTCAAAATACACTGGTTGCCTATGAAAACTTACAATTTTATGGCACTTTCCAGGTATACAGTTGCAACCAAAATTATTCGTATCCCTGGGAGATTCAAGTTTGAAGTAATTTATCTTTACCAATACATACTTTATTGGTATATTTCATGGTTTTGAGTGGTCCAGCGGTATTGGGCCAAAACTTAAGTCTGATTGAGAATCTGTGAGAGTTGAAGATTAATAGCAAGAAAATGAAACCTCTGTTTTATTTCAAACCACAATAAAACTTCTGTGTTGAATGAAACTACCTTGAAAAGTTAACCTAGCAATGGTACAAAAAAAAAAAAAAAAAAAAAGAACTGTTTATAAAAAGATTGCTTAGTTGGAAGGAACTACTTCCTTTTAATAGGGAAAACCCCAACAGATCCAGGCTCAGCATGAGCAGCCATCTGCCATGATTGAGCAGAAGCTGAGAAGACAGGACAACAACCAAAATCACACTTTCTCTGTCCATCATGCAGCAGCAGTCAAAATAAGTCCTTTTTAGTTTTCTTTGAAACTCCTGAGGTTAATCTTTAAAAAGTGCAATATTTCTTTTCATTGATTCGTGGATTACTTTCCCATTTCACCCCTTCAAAAAAGAAAGGAAATTATACTTTCTTCTGCAACAGTTTTGCAAAACACAACTCACGGTTTGAGATAAACCTCCAAAGCTTAAATGGAAAAACTGATCTATTGTAACACTGATCTTCTGCAGAGATAGTGTCTTTGATTTGCTAACCTCACAATGTCGCCTTTAAAGGCCTATGTAGCTTTAAACCATCGGTTGTGAGTTAAACACTCTAAATATGTGAAGATTTAATTCAGTATTTGACAGACTGTACCAACCACAATGTGTGGCAGATGAAAATTCACCTTTAGGACCTGCTTGTAAAATAAGATTTTCCAGCAATATTTGATGTTAATGTTATAATTTCAAGAAAATCTCCTCTGGAAAAAAAAGAAAGGAAAAATAAGAAACAAACATAAATGTCTGTTAAAGTCTACATTAAATTAATTACATATTTTTTAGAATATATATTTGTACCAAAGTTTACAAAGACCTAGCATAAGATATGTAGAGGTTGCATTTCCAAATGCAAATTATTACACACATTTATGTCTTTAAAATTGTTTCTTAAACTTTGAGAATCTAGTGGCCTTTAGATAGACGGAGAAAAGTCAATGAAAAAGGTACAGCGATAGAATTTTAAGTAGGTAGTGAAAATGATCAAGCAAAAAAGTATTTCCTGTAATAAACTTATGAAAGACTTTTTTTAATATAAACCTCAACAAAGGCCGGTTTGTTTATGTCTGACTTGTCAGCCCTGATGAGCTGTTTGAGACCTCCCCGGTTTTTGTAAACGCCTCCGCACTCCTGTGCTTGTTAATGAGTGTGAGCAGTGCCATGTTCTGAACCGCATACAGGAACACAAAACACAAACCGGGCTAAAAATACCCTGGTTGCCTATGAGCGATGAGGTGAAGGTGTCGCCAGATTTACTGGAAATGCAAAACTTGAAGTCTGTTCAATGAAATAGAGAGCAAGAAATTAAAGATAAGAGGGGTAATTCTTAATGTCAAGAAAAAACTTGGCCCGTAATCAGGCCTGTGTTTTGATTATCTTACTTAATTTTCTGTAATAAATGAAATATGTTAGGGCTCTTAGTTCATCACATCTACTGGATGAACTGTTCCAACCTCCGATTGTAAGGACCTTTACAGAGAATATAATTGATTTGAAAGTATTTTTTTACAAATAATTAGATGAAATACTGTCACAATTATTGGAAAATGGGGGATTACACTTTCTTAGTCAAGCAAAACCAATAAAAATGTGATTTACTGCAAGTATTTTGATCCTGATTGAGAAGTGCTCCTTGTATGGCAGAACAGCTCAGCACATGGTGACAACTAGACGTCACCCCGCGCTGGGTGTGTTCTCCTGTTTCTCCTGGCACTCGACCATCTTTGTCTGGCTGGTATGTGTCTATGCATGATCCCGTGACCCGGCTTGGTCTAAATATAAATACCCAAGCAGTGTGCTTCACTACTAAGGTGACATTACGTAATTCTAATCAACATGTTCTTAGTGAAAGATCTCTCGGGACATGAGCTGTGGACGTGTCAAAGGTTTTGTGATATTTTGGTTGACCCCAAAGAAGTTATCAAGGATGGTTGGAGGACGGTGAGACGGAGCTTGTCAGTTGAGAGCAATGCTGCTGTAGAGCATCAGGATTTTGTTCCCGAAGCCTGAATTGGAAGATAAGGACCATATTGTCTTAGATTTGAACTTACTTGCGTAAGACATTCTGTCAAAGATGGGTAATGGAATAAGTAAGGTAAAGTATCAAAGAGAATCGATTTAAATCTCCAAAATCTCTTTTTGCATTGTCCTTTCAGCTCTGTTCCCTTGCTCTTTTTAGATCCTACCAGATCTGTACCTTGGTAACATTAAAGGTAAGCCTTCATGTCAGTGAAGAAATGATTCCTTTTTTAATCATTTTCAGGACAGCGTAGTAGAACACGTTTCAGTTCCTCATAGGGAAGAGCATGTGGTGAACTGCTACACTGAGCTTGGTTTCTATAGAGTAGAGAGGTCACAGTGTGAAGCTGAACGGCTGGAGTACTACATTTTGACAAGAAAAAAATAACTTTTACAGTACTGTTTTTATCTTCACTGAAGTTTTTCCTATGTGTTTGAGGTGTGCAGCTGCAGGGGAACATAAATCGTATGTTGTGAAGTTGATGAGCGTTGGCGTGGGAGGGGATGCCCCGTGCTGTGGGGGTGTCCCTGATATGAGATGCATTCCAAATGTTTCCACAAAACAGCAAACCAAAGCATGAGGTTGCTCTTTTTAAGTGTAATTCACACACTGAACCATAAACACGTAGGCAATAGCATAAATATGTGGAAGACTTTTTTTTGTAAACGTGACCTGTTCTGAAAAATCCTGTCAAATGAAAAACATAATACCTTTCATCTTAGCAACACCTTTTATGTTTTTCTTTCTTTTATGCTTGTCACCTTGCCTATTTAAAGACATTTGTGTACGACAAAGGAAATAATAAGGTCTAATCTTCTAAGGCTGCCTCTCATGCTACTTATACACCTAACTGTGTACATCACATTTTTTGTCTTAGATTGAATTAACCAAAAGTAAACTTTTTAAGGTCCATTTTTAAATATATATATATATAGATGTACTTGATGAGTTTTACAACTAAACCTTTGAGATTTCCATTTATGATTTAAGTTATTTTAAACACATTCAGATGAGATTCAAGTTTAGTCAGCTAAAACTGAATTTCAAATGTAATGTATTCAGGTTTAACAATAGTATTTATCTAGATAAATTCACTTGATGAAGTTCGTAGAAAAAAATGGAGTCTTGATTTGGATATCTGCTATACTTTTCCAGATGTCTACATGCTGCACTAAAGGCTCAGAAATTGGGAATTCCCCAAAAAACCACATTTACTGGGCCAGTAATTGGTGGATTTCCATAGTAGCTGAACTCTAAGCAAGTGTCTAAGACTAAGACCTGGTTAAGCAGTGAAATCCAAGGGCAAGCCAACCTCTAAAAACCAGTTCAATGCTACATAAACTTGGACATCCTACACAAACAAACTGCAAAATTAGACTGTCAATAAATTTAGATGTTGTGAAAGTTGCAGTCTACCATGAGGCCAGAAGCCAGTAGTCACTTTCAAACTGGATCTCTCATTTATATACTTTGTCTGAGTAAGCAGAAAAAATGAAAGTTGCATCAAATAAATCAAATCCATTTATAACTTTCTATATTTCACAGCATGTCTGTAAAATTGGCCTGTTCTGAATTTGGGATTTGAGAACTAATATCTTAATACCACAAAACCATGTGTTGAATCTACTTCTACACATAGACAGTGTTTAAATTGTCAGTGCCTAATATGATTTAGAATTCTATAGGGGGTCAAGTTCAGTCATTTTCCCAAATAATAAAGTTATCAAAGTATGCAACTAATCTCAACAGTTTACAGTCATATTCAGTAAATCAAAATATTGCAGAAATGATTTTATGTTCAATAAATCAACTCAATAACTGAAATAATAATTAGAAACACTTCTATTCTCCTTTATTTGTGAAGGCCTGTTGCCTAAATTCACAATTTTAAACTATCTTTGACCTTCTAAACAGATTTTACATTTCTTTGTGCACTGTCCATTGGACAAATATATGCTTTGATGGGCTACAGATAAAAATAGAGATGTGAAAGGCTACTCATACTTTGCTCTACTGAGCAAAGCAAGCAATCATAGCCTTTTGCTTTGAGTCCTTTTAGTCCTTTATCATTTGCTAATTAGGAATTTGGTGAGTATGGTTGAAATTTTAAGGCAATGCAATATTTCTTGCAGTTCCTATTGGCTTCAAATTAATCAGAGAATGGATTGGTGTGCAGATTACACCTGCTGTCAACAACTGCAGCTTCTATGTGAAGTTGCCGCACATCAGGTGCCTAGCTAATGGTAAGTTAACTTATCTACATCTAAATCTAAAGAAATGAACTGATTTCTAACTCTACCCTTCAAAATAAACATGAACATTGTCTTAAAAGATATTAATATGTTAAATATGTGACTTTCTGTCTTATGCACAACATTGTGCCAGCTAGTCTTAATTTAAAAAAAAACTCATTCCCAGTCAAACATGCATTACTAGTTATCAAACTAGAGGAGACATTACCAATATGAGTCTTGATAAAAGCAATAAAAACTGCATGTGTTCACACTGATGAATCACATCTTATATCTTTGGATAATTAAAATGCATAGTTTTAATTAGTATGCATAGTTTTAATAAATGTTGGTCTTAAATGTTGGATTTTGGCCAAAAAAAAAAAAAAAAAGAAAATTAAAAGTTGTATTTTGCTCTTTGAGTCTTAGGGAAATTACTAGCTTTCCTTCAATTTATGATTTATGTTGCGTAAAGTATATCCTAGGAACATACAGGTAGTGACTCAGGATTGCACTTCTCTTGGAAATACTTTGATAATTAAAAATGCTTGTATTGTTTTACCGTTTATTACATATTTTTGCAACATAATCTACATTTTAAGGTCGCTTAATGCTACTGGCATTGTAGCAAGGCTTTGTGAAGGCTTCTCTAGGCCTTTTTGGGGTGGCATCAGCAGCATCCTGCACATTTGCAAAGCATGAGAAAAAAATGCTTACAGCACATCTGTCCATCGTAGAAAACATTTGGCTTCCTTTTAAAGAACAAAATTTGATTAAAACAATTACTGTTTCTTGCTTTTCGGCCAAGCTGTTGGACTGTTTTAGAAACACTGGTTTTCCGGTTTTTCTTTCAGTTCAAAAGAAGAGCAAAACTTTTAAACCATAGGGCCATATTTGCTTGGAAGACATTAAGGGAGGGGGGGTGTTGTTGGGCAGAAAATGCTTTATTTAGGTTGCAGCTTTCATGCTGACATTTGTCATTGGATGCAGAAATAATTTTAAAATTCTCGATTTTCTGTGATTCACAGATGCACAGGACCGGGAGCTGCTGGCAAAGCACAACATCACCCACATCCTCTCAATCCATGACACAGCTGCACCTGTCCTGGAGGTGAGGCAGCTTCAAATTGGATGTTTTACATGAGCTTTTGTGACCGAATGACCTGAACCTTCATCCAACTATAGAGTACTTAGTGTCCTTTGAACCCAGTCACTTACCCGTCAGTGTCCCAACTGATCAGTACTCATTGTGAAAGTATGAAATCTCTGTGGAGCTGTTATGTCTCTTCAGAGTTAAATATCTCCCTACAGCTGTGTGTGAGTACTTTTGTGTGACAAAGGTATGTAAGGAATTGACTTAAAATAGTTTATAAGTGTATGATATATCTTATCACCCTTTCAGTTGATCCATTTTATGTTGTCAACCTATTGAAGAATCACTTCCTGAAACATTTTTTCATTATCTAAGATCACTAGTGAGATAAGAGCATTCAATGAAATCGTTATCAAAGGCAGCTGAAATAGACAGATGTTCATATTTTCAATTGTGTGACAGTCATAAGACGTGGAATCCACCAGGTTTTAGAAAACACAGCGTTTACTGAGGCTTCAGTATTCTTTGGAATTTCAGTTCATGTGTGAAAATCTGTGTCAGCTGATGCAGCTGCAGTTTGATGCTATATTTTCTTCACAAGAAGCTTTTAGTTCTGCACATTGAGGACTAAAAACCTTTGAAAGAAGAACTGGACAAACAGGAGCAACTTTTATTTTTTTAAGTTTTCACTGCGACATTTAAATGTGCCAATAAGTGGAGGAATGTTTTTATTTCTTTCTTTGTGTTTTTATCATATTGGATAGAACATGAGAAACAAGGTGGACAGAAAAAGAAATGTGTTTGAAAACAATCGATTGGACTCATATTTGAAAACTTGTCTGATAGCCCCAGTGTCCGCTTTCACAACTTTCATCTTTTCCTTGCTGAAAGCGATCATGTTTTCTGTACACTTTCTCCCATCCATGCCAGAATGTTTCATTGAACATGGAAGAGAAACAGCAACTTGTATTACACAGTATCACTACCTAAACTGGTCAACCACTAAAATTTTTCAAATGTTTTGGCCCACAGATACTTCACACACTTTTGTTCATTTCTAGTAGAAATGAACAAAAGAGAATTATGAGAATTTTTCTGTCAAAAAATGCATGACACTGCTTTTTTCTTTTCTTTTTTTTTTATTCTGTACCTAAAGATGACTCAGGTCGAGTTTAGACAGAGTGGCCAGCTGGGGCAGTTTATTTGCATACTCAACAGTCAAACTGCTGACTGATTGATTTCTTGGAAGACGACGTGAAGGTTCCTGAGAGAAGATGGTGAAATTTGCAACCACCAAGTCTCTGTGGTCAGACGTAACATTTACATTGAAAAGATGCAGTTGTGATTAGAATATTGCAGAATAGAGCGATGCAGTTATTTCTATTTGATCAAATCTGTTACAAATACACTTTTCTTTACAAGAATAGAGTTTAGCTATGAGCATGCATAGGAATAAAGTCTCACAGTCGCGGTTTCATTGTATTAAATAATAGAGATGGACTTGTGCAAAGACATGAGGTCCTTTCAGCGACTTCTTCCAGACCCAGAGGGTCAGAATTTAAATAAAGGTTGCAGAGACTGTGGACATATTTTTACCAATGCTTACAAAAAGTGTCTGGAGCACTTCCAGAGTTTGCGCTGTCCCTGAGGACTCAGGGGTTTTTGCACGAGTGCAGTCATAGCACGATGAGGTGGTTTCTGTCCAGTTAATGTACCATCAGCTGCCAGGTGCAACGAAGAGTAAACGCACACACACGCACGCACAAACTCACACCCTCACTTTGTTATGTCGCAATCTACATCGCTCACAGGGTAAGGACTGCAAGGTTTCAGGGCACGTATAACGGAAAAACAGGAAGGGTGTAATAGCCACCGCATTTGCATCTAAATGACCTCGAAATACAAAGAGCAATTAATACATTTAATATTATTGGTTTTGCAAGTGTAAGAGAACTTCTATTCACAAAATACTGCACCTAATTTCTTTTAACATCTCTAATTTAAGCTGTTCCCTCTTCTGTGCAGGAGATGACTTATCTCTGTATATCTGCTTCTGACCACTCAAAGCAAAACTTGTGAGTACTAAAAAAGATCAGATTTTGGCATTTTATGTGCGCTGCAATTTGTTTAACTTTTCTTTCTACTGAAATATGTACCTTTGATCTGTACCTAACACATTCCACTTTAGATACATACCTCTCTATAATTAGAATGTTATGTTTAATGATAAGCTGCTTGATGTGATGTTTTCTCCAGGATCCAGTATTTCAGAGAGAGCATCATGTTTATCCATGAGAGCCGGCTGAAAGGAGAGGGCTGCCTCATTCACTGGTGAGGACCAGTTCTTAGACTTGATCTCTTATTGGCTTTTTGTGGCTTGGAGCCAGAAATCTTTTATTTTGAGTAATTTATTAGACTGACACAACATAATACATAATTGTGACGTTTAAGAAAGTAGTAGTATGTGCATTGCAACCCTTATTAAAAAAAAAATGGTTGGAAAAGATTTAGGACTAAAGTGGAGGTTCACCTTCAAGGAGGTTGACAACATTAACCACACAACCAGACCTACAGTGGAATGGTTGAAGAGAAGTTGTAGATGTGTTAAAATGGTATAGTCAAATTTCTGGACCTACAAAGACTTTTTCAACAAACCCTCTCCATCTGATCTTACAGTGTTTAATTAATTTTATTTTAAACAACAATCAGCAGCACGTCTTGTAGTGACACACCCAAGAAAACAGAAATTCATGCCACACTTTTTATATTGACGCTTGTAAAAATTTTGAAACCCACATATACACAACTTTGTCACATAAAAATCTTGATAAAATACATTGATGTTTGTGGCTCTGATGAGACAAAAAAAGATGAGAAAATGAAAAGAAATTGGATACATGAAGTGATGACTTATTGGAGATTTATTCTGCAGCATGATGCACCTGCAGGTCTTGTGTCAGGTCTGTGTTTCATTGTTTTTTTATTTTACTATTTATTTAATTTTTAAATGTACTTTTGGATTCTGTCTTTCTCGTGTCCCACCAGTTCGAATAACAGCTGAGGTAACAAGGAAGATGAGGTGTAAAACCTTTGAAAGACTTATGTATAGCTTGGAGACTTTTGAATGATTATAACACAAAAGAAAAAAAAATTTCAGAGCTTACTGGTGACTGTATCAGAAAGCAGCAGAAAAAGTTTGTAATTCCCTGTCCTACTAAGAATTTACCTCAGAATTACTGATAAATCTTCAAATATTAGCGTAGGTCTCATTTTCAGCCACACCAAAAAGATCCTGACTATCAGGCTTTCAGGTTGAAAACTTTCATAGAAAATGTCCTCACCTTTCATCTCATCTCATATCAAACAGCAGACATTTAACCACAGCGTCAGGAGTGGGTTTCACTTCTTTTATACTCTAAAGCAGAGATTCTGCACTTGAGAAGGATTACTAACTGTGAGGGTCTGTGCTTGTCAGTGTGGCAGGAGTGTCCCGCAGCGTAACCTTGGTGGTGGCTTACCTCATGACAGTGACAGCACGAGGCTGGGTGGAGTCCCTGGCGGCGGTCCGGGCTGCCCGGCCCTGTGCGGGCCCCAACCTGGGCTTCCTGCGGCAGCTGGAGGAGTTCGAAAACATGGAACTGGCAGAGGTTAGTCGTTTGTATGAAGATATGACTATATGAACGTGTATTTTTAAAAAGGACCTCTGAGAGATCAGAAATTATCCATAGGGTTCCTACACAGCCTGGAAAAGCTTCAGTAGTTTTTAAGTTTTAATAAATATGGAAAAGAATAAGGTGAACAGAAATAAAATGTGGATTTCATGAGTTGATGCCTCATCCAACTATCCATTGTTCCTCCCTCTTTCTCTTGCTCAATTCTTTCCTTATTTCATTCTCTCCTCTCTCCCTTACTTCTTTCTTTCCTTACTTGAGTCCTTCCCCATGTCCTTTATTTTTTGCATGTTTCATATTTGAAGCCGACCCACAGCAAAAATTTATGAAAAATGCATAAAATTTTATGTTTGTAATTTGTTGGTTTGTTTTAACAGTCATTCAACAAACAAAAGAAAAAAAATAAACAGCTTCCAGTATTTTTATGAACCAGTATAAGTGTTGGCAGCCAGTAGAAAAGTCAAGGATGGAAAGTAAAATGAACTCTGGTTTGAACATTTTTACGATTGGCAGGTTAACTTGTCAAAAATGTGGACAGGGTAATAAAGTAGTTTTTACAAACACATTAGACTTAATAGGATTTTTTTCTCCTTTGTAAAATCATTATAAAACTTTTAGAAAAATAAGAATTAGGGGTTTGAATTCAAAGAAATAGTGGATTTCCTCAAATATTTACAGACTCCAATACACTCACAGTTCACTTTCTTACATACACCTGTTGAATATCAATCTCTTGAAGATCAATGCATTTAGAGATGAGTGGTGGTGAAGATGACTTTGTAAAGTTTGAACAAAGTGCAGAATTTGGAAAAAAGGTGATTTGAGAGTGTTTAAACAGAAACGGAACCTATGGAGATTTTCACACACTGTCCTCCATTTAAAGAATGGTATAAAACTGTACAATGCAAAAGTTAGGCATCTAATATTTTCTGAAATATCAGCGTTGTCTGGACGTTGTTCATTACATCTTAATTTTGGAAAGAGACAACAGATCCAGAATCTACACTTAACACAATGTGTTCCCCAAAATAAGCATAAAGATAATTGTGATGTAACATGACGGAAATATTGCCTCAGCTGACGTCTTGAAATATGCTATTAGCATCAAATTCTACGTTTACATTTTTTCTAAATATCATAAAACTCTTCAATGACGACGCTGAAATCATTTGCTTTCTGAGTGTGTTTGTTAAGCGAGGAGCCAAACACGTGTGTTTCTATCTATCTACATCTCAAAAATGGTTGTGATGTAATGAAGAGGGGTTGGGAAGCAAAGAATTGCAGATTAAATATTTGTATTTAGGGTTATTCAGCTGTTTTACTGCAGCTAAAACTACTTGATTCGGTCGGCTGTAAAACCACGTTATACAGTTTTATAATTGATCTGAATCTTTTTCCAAGACCTAAAAGAAAGATCTTCAGAAAGTCACAAAAAGTCTGCTTGAAAAGATTAGAAACAAAAAATACAGACAAATCAGGGTGCCTTTTTCATAAGAGACAACGATAAAGCTCTTTCTCCCCTCTTTTCAGTATCGAGCCTGGTGGACGGAGAGGTACGGGAAGAGCTCCTTTAATGACGATGAGGAAATTCAGAATCTCATCAATAAAAAGTCTAATAACAGTGTTGGCAGCAGCAGCTCTGTCAACATCCCCCCAGCTCTGGGACCAAGTCACACTTGAAAAAAATATTCTGCTCTCATCACTCCGGGGCTGCAAAATCTGAGGAGTGTTGGAATCGCACCAGCAGGAACGTTCATCCAGTAGTTCTTTGGTATCATGAATTGGTTGAATGTCATGCTTGCAGATTGGCCGGGGGATTTCATATCTCTGTTGTCATGTCATGTCTTGGCCTCTAACTGTCAAAACAACATGCAAGGCCAGCCAAGCGGGACCCCAAGGAAGTATGTACACAAAGTCCTGAGTGTGAACACACAGTTAGTAGCGGACACTCCCCCTCCGTGAGTTATGTTATGCTGTGTCTTGAACTTGAAATATGACTATTAGTTTCTATGCAGAGAGTGGAAACTAAAGAACAGTTTCCCAGTAAACATACCACAACATGCGTTTTTTTTGTATTATAATTGATATTATTTGAATTTATTTGTGTTGCCTTATGTCCAGCTAACAGTAGCCTCTGCATAAAAAGACAAGCAGTTGTATTTTGTGTAAATACATTTTAATTGATGTCAAATTTCACCCACCCTCTCAGGGAGTTATGAGTTCATTTCAAACAGGTTCATTTATTTTGACCTGTTTTGACTTTCACAAATTTAACTAATTTTGCTTTTTACTGATTAGTATCTGAGATGTATCCAAAAAGTCTTTTTTATTTATGTACATGTTGTTTTTTTTTTTTTTTTGAAGAATTTTTGTCCTAAACCTTTTCATGTTTTGTTACACAATAATTTAAAGGTTTTTATTGGGACTTTATGTGATGGGTTTACACAAGGTAATCCATCGTTGTGAAGTTAAAGGAAAAATTATGCATGGTTCTTAATTACTGATGTATTTTTTAGAAATAGGAAATGCAGGAATATTACCCATCCCTCCTGATTCAAGACTTTGTCGAACCACATTTTGCTGATCTTTTATGTCTCAGCAATTTTCCACATTAAGAAACTGAGACTATTGCCAATAGTGCTTTAGAAATTGGCTATCAGATTCTCATCTGAACATCATATTTTTAATTGAATGAATTTGTTATTTTTTTTCAAGGCGTTGACTTGCCCACTTTAGCAATTCATTCATCTTTGATGTAAAACATTCCATTGTAGCTGTGACTGTCTGCGCAGGGCCGTGTCGCCCATCTCAAGCGCTTTGCAACCAACTTTCTTTCAGAATTATCTCATAAATAACTCTTTCCATCTTTCCATTAACTCCAGCCATTTTTTCCATCCCTTGCCCAGTCTGTCCACAAGATGTTCAAAACCTGGGATATTGTTTTGTAGTCTTGCTCTGCATTAAACTCTCCATAATATTATTCCCGACCTGACTTTTGCTTTTCTTGATTTACATGATGATTGTTCATTATATATTCTCCAACACACTTCTGAATCCTTCACAGAACAAATATTTATATACTGAGATTAAATCATGAAAAAATGCAACACACCTGGTCAAAAACAACCAATTCGAACCAGGAGGAGTGTCATGGTGCTGTCAATCATCCTTGTATTCACACTGATTAATGTGCAAATGGTGGAGAAACATGTCACAGTTCCAGGAAATGTTTTTCTGCTGTCATTGGCTAACTAGCCTTAGCACTCAGAACGGGCTCAACTGATGGCGAGAAGCTGTAGTGTTGCAGAGAGCAAGGGGGAGTCTGTGAGCAGTGTACACAAGAATGATTGACAGTGCTAAGACCCTCCTCCTGGCTGTGATTGGTTGTTTCTGATTCAGCAGTGTAAATCTGTAATTAGCACTTGGAGAAGACTGGGGGTTTGATTTTTTTCCACAGATTATGTGTCGAGTGACAGTTTTAAGTACAAGAAAAATGTATTTTTAAGTAAAAATTATGCATCCAAGGTCTAAAGTGACTTCCTCTAAATTTTTGAATGCACATTTTTGATTTTTCAGTGTTTCATTTCTTTTCGCACAACTTGCCGTTCTCTAAGCTTAATGATAAAATTCATAACAGCTGATTGATCCATGACTGGACCAATACATTTCCTAGTTGAGTCAGAACTGGTATTTAAACAATTCACTTTAACATCATAAAATACACCACTTTTTTATCAGTGGTGTATTTTATGATGAATTAAAAATCATGAAATGTTGCTCATTTAACATGAAAACATTTTGTTTTTGTAAATCTTTTATTTTAAATATCCACTTCTTAAACTAATTAACTCAGCAGGGGACTGTGACTAATTCAATATTTGTTGGATGTTGAAATTTAAGTTTCGACAAGATTAAAATAATATATTTGTTCTATTTACTGTAGTTTATAAGACTATTGTGTTATACTTTTTAGTTTTAAAATGTTACAAATAAGTAGTCTGAGTTTGAATGTTTATTACAACTTATTTTTGTGTCTCTACTTCCTTATGTAAGGGCTCAATGATGGCTATATTGAGCCATCATTACCTCTGCAGGAGCTGTTAAATCCGCTCTATTCTTGAAAATATTATTTATAAAGGAGTTGAGATGCTGCACATGCAAACTAGAGAAACTTTAAATTCTCAAAGAACCCACACACACACACATACACCCACTGTCTGTTTTTGTTCTTTGAAACTAACTTATTCAAATACATGTACATTGAGCTCTGACTTACTCAAATGTTCATTTTCCCAGATGGTCCAGCTATAAAATGGTGGCCACTTGACATGCATTTTGTAGAGGAAAAACCAAGACAATAAGTATAAAATGACAATAAATTTAATTTTCTATAACAGTTTTCGTATAAAAACCCCAAATTGAAAATGAAATAAAGGTAGAATAAATCCATGAATAAAGGTGTATATATATATATATATATATATATATATATATATATATATATATATATATATATATATATATATATATATATATATATATATATATATATATGTATATATATATATATATATATATATATATATATATATATATATATATATAATATATATATATATATATATATATATATATATATATATATATATATATATATATATATATATATATATATATATATATATATATATATATATATATATATATATATATATATATATATATATATATATATATATATATATATATATATATATATATATATATATATATATATATATATTTGTTTTTTTTTTTTCTGGTTGAACGGTATTTACCTTTTCCAAGTTTCACAAGCATTTTCTTCATTCTCGAATAGGCTATAGTTGTTTTTCTATCGGCCTTTTTTACTCTCTTGCACCAGAGCGGGCGAATTCCTAAAACTGTGTTTAATCTCATCTAATCTAATTATATCGATTGTTCTTATTTAATCTTCCAGCAGGAACAAACTACATTTCTTTCTTTCTGCGCATCATTTCTCCTGCAGGACCACTTTGCAGCTGCTTTTTTTCGTAAGGCTTTATCATTTCAAAGAATTGTTTTCGTCTCCGTCCTCTGACTTTCCACCCGTGCGGGTGTGTGACACTTCTGTCTGACGCCGGCAGGGTTTCCCCTGGTGTCTTACTGGAGATCCGCCGCTGTGAGCGCGCTGATAAGCTTCGCAGGAGGGGAGCTCGGCGCGGCAGCGGCAGGAGGCGCAGCAGCGGCAGGTGCGTCCTCCTCCTCTTCCTCCTCCTCCACCTCCTCCTCCTCCTCCCCCTCATCAGCATCTTCCTCTTGACTCCGCCCCTTTTGCGGCTCGTTTCACGCTGCGAGGATTTAAGCGGGCCCGCCGGAATGGTGAGGGCTTTCTGAGACTGACAGATTTCAAAACTTGACGGGTTTCGGGTTTCGCAGGTAAGGCAGCTTCGACTCGCACCCGGGGCGCGTAAAACAAGAGCACAACTGTAGTCTGCGTGGGAGTCCACGTTGAGCGATCTTCTCACTTTTACAACTCTTGATTCCGCGCTGCTTTCGCAGCCTACACATTATATCACATTAGGGTGCAGGACCTACAAGCGGAGTTTTGCTTTTGTGTTTTGCTCAGAGATGAACTCTGAAGTGGATTACGGAGGCTCCGGGAGCAGCGGCAACGGGAAGCTGCGCCAGTGGCTCATCGAGCAGGTGGACTGCGGGAAGTATCCCGGCCTGGTGTGGGAGAACGACGAGAAGACCATCTTTAGGATACCATGGAAACACGCCGGGAAGCAGGACTACAACCGGGATGAGGATGCCGCGCTTTTCAAGGTAAGAGACAGAGGGCATGGATGAGAACCAAACTGGCAACTTATCTAAATATTTAGGACAGTCTCAGTTTAAACTTGTTGTTCGTTCATTTAGAATTAAGTTGTATTTTAGTCGCCTGTATAAATATTGATGCGCGGTTGATCTGCGGAGTATTTGTGTATTATTTCATGTATGGATAGACCGAGACAAGCAAGCAGAACTATAAAAATGAGTCAAATTCAATTCGGTTCAGTTGATTTAATTCACTATAATATGTTATAATTTCTAACAAGTCAAATTCACCAATCGAAACAGAAAAGCCATCAACTGTATGCATTGAAATTTTAACGGCGGACAACATTTAAAATACTATTTAAAATTTAATGTAAATGTAAGAGAAAAAACACATTAATTTACAAAATACATATGTAAAGTTTTGGAGTCTAATTGCGCACTCATCCTCGCATTCCTGCGCTGCAGCCATGTAAGATGTGACCCACTGCTCATATAGGTAGGCTATTGCTCTTTTTTGTAATTTTCTCCCTGCGAATTGTCTGCAGGCATGGGCGCTGTTCAAGGGCAAGTTTCGGGAGGGGATCGACAAGCCGGACCCTCCGACCTGGAAGACGCGCCTGCGTTGCGCCCTCAACAAGAGCAACGACTTCGAGGAGCTGGTGGAGAGAAGCCAGCTGGACATCTCTGACCCTTACAAAGTGTACCGCATCATCCCGGAGGGAGCGAAGAAAAGTCAGTGGCTCTAACGCCATCAATACGTCAAGCAGCTGCATGGGTTTAACTGGGAAAGGTGAAGTTAAATCTGTTCTGTGTTGCACGCAGGGCCCAGACCGGAGGACAGTCCTCTGAGCCCAGTGAGCTATCAGATGCATCATCCATATCCTTCCGTACCCACTCAGGTAATTTACATATGCATACAAAATGAGCGGGGCGGGGCCTTAGAGAAACAGCAGACAGGCTGCTGAATGAACCATGGAATGTTGTTCGTGCATGAATGAACTGAGAAACAACAGTTTTATGATGTGTTGAATGATGCTGAACAAACATTTGTAAAGGGACAGTACTTTACATAACAGTGAGGGGAAAAAAATGCATAAGCAACTTTTGAAAAACACGTTCGAAATGGATCGTTGAACACAAAACATTTTAATAATGTAACCTTGTAAAGCCATGCTTGATAAACAAAGCTGGATGTATGTGTTTGTAGATACCACAGTACATGACAAGTCCGGACTGCAGTTGGAGGGATTACTGCCCGGAGCAGCCGTCCCTGCCAGACCTGCCTTTCACTCAGTGCCCCTGTCCCCCTCGCAGCCTGCCATGGCAGACCCCATCCATGGAGAACGGTACGTCATTTCTATATATAACAGCTGCATGAGACCTATGCGTTTTACATCCACTTTTTGGCATGCCGAGCTTGACTCTGTTCCTCTTTCTGCGCAGGATACCAGCTCAGAGCTTCCATTTACTCCTACGGCCCCACAGACAGTCAACCCTCTCCTTTCCCGCTGGACGCCAGCATCAGATCAGCAGAGGCGCTCTCAGGTGCACATGATACGCTTTCACTTCACCATATTCCCTCTCACGCCATGACATTGTAGGGTCATTGTGAAGCAGGAAGCAATGAGGCAAAATGCTTCGTGCAGATTAAAATATGCCAAAATAAGTTTTTTTTTTCCCCAGCCGTATTGAAGATTTATATGCACAGAAATCCTGTCACCTGCCTGTTTGGTGCACCAAAAATGAAAACAGATAATCTGTATGTGATCATTCCCACCAATCATCAGAGATGTAACCAAAAACATGACATTTCAGCAAGAAGTGAGCAATCTTTTCAGCCCCAGTGTAATAAGTGAAAATAAAGACTTTTTTAGCAATTAAGTAAACATGTTCTTAGTATACACCCTAAAAGAAAAAAATGATTCCAGTAATCAGTTGCTAGAGATGCACCTACATAAATTTGACTATATTTAGATGTATAATGGTTAAGCAGAGTTTTGTCAATTTCAGGTGACCTTCTACCTAAATCAATGCTGTTCCTGATTGTTTTCAACACACATTTCAAACTGTTTTGATCCAACTACAGTTTTGAGTCTGACTATACAGGTGACTGAAGCATAACAGGTTGAAAACAGGCCAGGTTTGTTGACCCTCTGTCGG